GCGAAGCCACTATTATTATTATATAGTACACTATTATTATTAATTACTGGTGGAAGGACCTCTTGTGAGCCGCACGGGTAGGTACCGTCACCCTGCTTATTTCTGCGGTGAAACCGTAATGCGTTTCGGTTTGAAGGGTGGGGCAGCCGTTGTAACTATACTGAGCTTTAGGACTCATATCTCAAGATGGGTGGCGGCATTTACGGTGTGGATGTCTATGGGCTCCGGTAACCACTTAACACCAGGTGGGCCATGAGCTCGTCCAACCATCGATGCAATTAATAAATAAAAAATCGTTTTTCTCTCATTTTCCTCTTTTGATATAAATAATTAACTTCCTAATTAGCTTCCTAAACTTTTCATCCAATCGTGATGAAACTTACCAAAATTATTGTTGGCACTCCATGGATGTTTTCTACAATGGTAATGTTAAAAGACGGTAGAACGCGAATAATTTTAAGAAATCAAGGTCTATCATACAATCAGCAATGTCATAGTGGTGTGTGACCTATATTCACTAGATAACCATAAAAATATTTTTTTTCGGTCTTACAATTTACTTAAAACTACTGTTATTTGAAGTACCTACTTTTTTCTAATTTGCTGATTAAATAAATTTATCTTTAGAAACACTTAAATACTATTAAGTGACATAATCGTGGTTAGGTATAGGATATAATAATAATATTATATTATCAGTTTATATATAGAACACAGTATAGTGCAAATGTAGTATTTATACAATTTAATACTATTAAGAAACTAAGCATTAAATGTTTATATATTATTATACTTCATCTAGATGACATCTTTACTTTTGAGTAAATAATTGAGAACTATGAATCAGACTTTATTGAGTATTACACGATTTCCCATAAAAATAATCATGTTATTGAATGCGAAAACATAAATCACGAATACAATGTTCTTATTTTCTATACAGAATGCAGAATTTATTACGTTCCGATAAATAGAATATAAAAACCGTCTTTGTGCAAAGCGTCATAACTCACCGAAATAAACCCCAACGCCCATTGACAAAAGTATCAACGTAAATAAATACATTCTTAAATACTTCCCTACACTTCAACGGAAGTCCTCCAAGTGATGCTCCCTTTGTGTAGGGTTACGATAAATAAGCATTTTAGTAAACCTATTTCCCATTTGCCAAAGGTGTGCTTTATCATGATTCTGTCATGACGGTGTATTTTGCGCGTAAATTCCTTCCAAAAAAGGGCATTAAAATGTGCCAATCTGCATAAAGAATTTAAACAAATCTGTTTGTAATAAAATAACGTCCTGAATACATTATAGTTTAATGAAATACAAACAGTAAAATAAAAATCAAGAGGCAATCATAAAATATGTAGTGCTTTTTTGAAGTTCCTTAAATGACCTAAGTATTATTAAATAGACAAAGATAAACCGTTAAGTATCCCTACCTACAGAAGTCTGTTTGATAACCAATTTCTTTAGTAGACGACAATTGACGAATTGTGTTATCAACAAAATTTTTTTTTAGAAAATAGTCAGCTTTTCAAATGATATACAAGTAAGTGTCCTTTTGTCTATAATACAACTTTTTTTTTTTAGTATAGATAGAGCTTAACTCCTTCTAGTTATTATTTTTGGATATTGTATTGGATCATTGACCGAACGAACACTAGTACACATATTTTTGCAATAATTATACATAATTTCTAATTGACTATTCAAGAGCTATTTTAAGTGTATTATTATCTATCGTTATAACGGAAATGTAGTAGGAAGGTAATCGACAATATCAACGTCGTATTCACTTCAAAGGATGTAGCAAAGGGATTTAGTCGATTGGAAATAATGTGCATTTTCGGAGATATGATCGTTCGAAACTCAGACTAGATCTCATTTACCTATTTGTACAGTTGTGTAAATTTTGAAATGAAAACATTTAATTTTGAAATTTAGAAAAAATCTATAACCAATATTTTATGAAAATTATTTTATAGTTCGATTAGTTACCTTACCTTACAGCTCACCTCGTACTAAGTTTTTTTTATTCTTTTTATTGCCGTATAGGCAGACGAACATACGGCCCACCTGATGGTGAGTGGTTACCGTCGCTCATGGACGTCAGAAATGCCAGGGGCAGAGCCAAGCTGCTGCCTACCATTTTGATTTGATTTGATTTGATTTGAGTACTCTCCATAAGCCTCGTTTGAAGAAGGACATGTCATAGCGCTCGGGAAACACTGTGAAGGGGAGCTTATTCCAAAGCCGGATCCTACGTGGAAAAAGATCTCTAGAAACGCACATCCGTGGCTCCAGGATGAACTCTACTCCGATGGCGGGCGGTGCGGTGCGATGGTAAGTGGCTATCAGAACCCATAGACCGTGAATATCGCCGCCCATTTTGAATATGACACTCGACAATAAGTCGCAGTCTCAATTATATGGTAACTAACCAAACCACATTGTTAGTATTTTCCCAATTAATAGATAATATAATAATTCAAATAACAAAGGTATCATGATATTTATGACAAAAAATAGGAGTTCTAATAAACATTTATTTCATATGATCAGTTTTCTAACAATTTTTATACAGTATTCAGTTATGTACGTACGCACAGAAAAATGAACCCTCCATATAGATTTCACGAGAAAAAAACATGCAATATACAAAATCAGGGTTTGCCATTTCGGAAAACGCTGACTGAATTGTTTGCTTCTGAGACTACCAATACAAACAAAACTCATTGAGAGTGCATTTCCATGGATGCACCGTGTAAACATTTGACGGCGAAGCAATTTTAAAAGCTTACTCTTGTGTACCTACTAGATAGAAAACGTGGAACCAAACATCAAAAGTGCCTGTCAAAATACATTTTCCGAGAGCCCGGAAAAGTCTATTTTAGTACTTAACAGAGTACACAAAGTGGTTTGAATTAAAAATAAATAATAAATATGGATATGTATAACTGAATTGCTTAGTTATTAAAAGTCCATTTAAAAAGTTTATTTAAAAATAAACAAAATATATTTGCTGAATCCTTTTTAGTCCTTTTAATCTGTTCTATTTTGTCTATTCTACAAGCCGCAATACTTTGATTCTCTCGATTCTTTCCCAGAAATGATGGGCAAAATTGGCAAGTGAAAGGCATTAAATCTGTCTGGAACGTTCGATTTGCATAGGGAAAATTGCATTTTCGAGTTGATAGCGGCAAGGAAGCGATGCCGCGTTTCTCAGTGTTTGCATATTTGTTGATGAAAATTCACCTTGGAAAAAATTACATTTCAAGTACTGGAAATCAATTTAAAAAATTATCTTGTAGTATAAATATTGTAACAAAAATCGTTTGAGGCACACCTACGTAATTGTATGTTTCAATAGGTTTTATTATTTATTAACAGCTAGTACTGTAATTTCAATTATATTTCATAAATTAACGCCGTCTTTTTTACTCAAAATCTTCCGACTAATTATATTCAACTGAGTTATCTACAAAAACATTATCAAATAAGTTTTTATTAGGTTTTATTAAATACTTTTTTCTTCGAAATAAGCAACACTTCAGAAAAATTTAAAATAAAACAAAACTTTTACTTTCGACATTTCGTAATTCAAAAGTCTGATTAGATCAAAATTCGTCGTGAACAGCAAATTATGTAAAATATAATTACAAATTTTAAAACGTGATAAAAATTAATAAAAATGCAGTATTGCTATCCTGAAGACTGCGGTCCGTTCGCTGTAGCCCCGGTTCTTGTTACATCTTCGTATCCAACCAGATGTGAGGAATCACCCACGTGCTACCCGTGCTTGCCGCACTGCCCACAATCTGTGGTTTACTGTTGTGACACTAGGCCGAAGACACCATTGAGGAGGTCAAGTTGTTGTGATAGCAAGGAATTTGATAGCCGTAATCGTAACCGAAATAATAGCCCCTCTCGCCAAAAGAGAAACTCCCCACCGCCCCCTTGTCATTCGGATTCAACCCACAAGCCCTCTTCAAACTGCTGTCCAACTTGTTGTCAGCCTACTTGCCAACCAGTCAAGACAAAATATGTCATACCGTGCTATCGATACGAAGACGGCCGTATTGTAAGTTGAAAATGTTTTCTAATTTTTATTTTTTGGCGTTAGTCTCTATAAATTTAACATACGTGATGTGTTATTGCGATTTTTTAAAATATTTTGTGAACTGAAACCAACAACTGAGTCAACTCGTTTTAAAGTTAATGCCCGTAACGTTTTTAACATTTTATAACTTCAAATAAAGAGATATTCTCGGCTTAGGGCGTATTCTTTTTTATATATTTGATAGACGTGTCTTCGTGCTCGTAAGACTATGGTTGTTCCATTGCTTAATTGTTGGTTTCAGGAACGATACGTTCCTACTCGTCACGGTAGGCTTCCTGGGTCCGCGTACAGACGAAATGGAATGCAGGATCAAATACACGGCTACAGAGGAGCCGTGCGGTATCTCTGTGCTGGAGGGAATTCACAGGGTTGCTGTGTCTACACTACTATTGAACCTATGCGACGATTATATCCAAAAGTCACTCAGGAAATTAATCCTGTTAAAAAGAAAAAAAGATAAAAAATTATTAAATGAAATAATTGCGTCCATTTATTCGGCTAAATGCTAAGAATTAAATTATCAATCAGTGCCGCACGTTTTACACGCCTGACAGGTAAATCCGCTACCGTCGTCTGCAATAAAACGGAATGGAATTCAAGACCAGAACTTTCTGGAAAGCGGCGGAATAGCGTATATCCGCAAATGCTGGCACAATGCGATTTGGAGTGACCGCCCACTCGCTATACCGGTTAGACCGATGAAGAAACTTCCAGCAAAGAAACGAACTCGGTAATGGGTGGGTATAATAATCTAACAAGCCCTACTACTGAAAGCCAAAAAAAAATACTGCTAAAATTCATAATCGGTGGCTAATAGAGGGCCCTCTGGTCCGTTCCAGGTGCAAAAGTTTCCTGTAACAGCGTTCAAGCGGAACGGAATGCAAGATCAAGAGCATTCGAAGCTGTTGGGAGCCACTAATTTCCTTGTACGTTGTCCCCGGGACGTTTCCATTGAATGCGACGTGTGCGCGAGGCCCGTCAAAGTGGGCGACCCGGCGAAAGTACCACCTTGTACTTCTAAGCCCGGCCTTGGCTGTTGTTTGCTCCGAAAGAAACCTATTGAAGTGTCACTCGGAGATATATTAGACGAATGAAACGTTCTTTACGCCAGCGTTGAATGTGTGACACGAGAAAATGAATTAAGTTTTACGTCGAGCCTTGTTTGAAAAATTGTGGATCTTAAATGACGACCGTTATGTATTTAATGTTTTGAACTCACGTAAGCGGCTTTCGTTTTATTCATTCATCGGAATACTATACCAGTGAAAGTTTTGAACTATATTTAATTATATATCAATGTAATTAATTTCATTTAGCCCATTAGAACGTTAAAATAATTTTGTTATTAAAACATATTGACGCGTTATTTCTGTAGGTACTTGTGTTTGGTTACAGGATCAGCCAACGGTTCTAATGAGGCGCGCCTGCGAGGTGGCAGCGGGAGTCCGTGGGCGTCGTAAGCCCTTCGTAGAAACTTCTTATCGAGCTGATCCCTACGACGAGGTTCATCGTTACCATTCTGAGGATGAACAGGTTCAAACTTGTGGTAGATTAAACAGAATTTGTTTGATTCCGGAAACAAAAAACAAAATTTATCTAGTAGGTACTTACTAGCTGACCCGGCAGACTTCGTAGTGCCTCAATCGAAAAATAAAAGATCTAAACTTTTGTATAAAATAAACTTAAAACAAACAAAAGGAATCCGTCCGACGGAGGACACATCAAAGGAAAAACAAAATCGTTATTTTTATTTAATTCCGAGCATTTTCATATTTATCTACCTTTTACTGAACTTCCACAATTAATTTAAGACCAAAATTAGCCAAATCGGTCCAGCCGTTCTCGAGTTTTAGCGAGACTAACGAACAGTAATTCATTTTTATATATATAGATAGAAGATAGATAATTTTCATTAAATGAATAGTATGTTTTCAAAGATTAATATTCTGCCGGAGGTCGGAAACCGTCACCTGAAGTGATTCCCAGGCAATATCCTTTTTCGAGCCAAAGCAAAAAGCCGAATAAACGCCGACGGTGACGGCAATGAGAAATTCAATTTCATTACGAACCGGCTTCGTACTAGAAAAATGAATCCCACCCACTAAGGGCTCTATTGAATTTAAAATTAAAATTGAATTAGTCAATAACAAATTTACGTGAATTGTTATTATAAACGAATCATTGGTACTTACGCTTGCCACAGATATTCTGCTATATCGGTTTTCTTTAATTTGGTTTTAGTCATTACATGATATGTATTATAATATATGTGAAGTATGTTTAAGAAAATAAGAATTTCCTAGATTTCGGTTTGAGTAGGTACTTTATACTATATATTTTTATGAAGAAAACTAAAGATTGAGCTAAACATAAGCCGGTCATGACTCAACTTTGAAAAACAAAATTGATGATCACAATCGATGTGCTCGACATTGTACAATCTTTTATGTGGTGCTAACATGAGCTAACCATAGCTATCAAACAGACTGAAAATAATGGTGTCCAGAAAAGTGTCTTACAGTCTATATTAATGTAGTTAGACGAAATCTCGATTTTGTGTTGTTGTTGTTTGCTATGTTTTTGAGATAGATCGGTGTCGCCCAGGGACCGCGATGTTTATTCGTTGAACGTGGCGAGGGTTCAGATAGGGATTTATTTGCGACCGGGGCTCAAGATACGAATCCCCGTGATTGGGCTCTGTAATCCTATGGTTTGCGATCGGCTCGTATGTACGTACCTACTACGCGTTATATATTCTCATTTTACTTAAATTACTACTTTAGGATCACGTAATCACAATTAATTAGCATTACCTATTTCCTTTTCTTCTCTTCCTTCACTTTTAAGGTGTTGTAGAATCATATGTAGAATTATTTTTGCAGCTGTCCTAGTCCCGTTTTTTTAATGAACCCATTTTGTTAATGAAATACTGACTTGACTAATGTTCACTTTCACGTTAAATCTATAACATTGATTAATACATATAAATCAAACCTGAAAAATTATAATTTGCGTAATTACTGGCGGTAGGACGTCTTGTTAGTCCGCACGGGTAGGTAACACCACCCTGTCTATTTCTGCCGTGAAGCAGTAATGCGTTTCGGTTTGAAGGGAGGGACAGCCGGTGTACCCGTAAAAACTGAGTCCTTGGAAGCTCGTGTTTCAAGGTTGCTGACAGCATTTACCTTTAATACTAGGTAGACCGTGAGCTCGTCCAACCATCTGAGCTATAATAAAAAAAGTATGCCAAAAGAATTATTAATTTAGAAGAGTACATATTATTACAATATTGTTCACTTATAATGAAAAATTTAAATAATTCATGCACAATTTAAAAAAAAACTTCGTATTTTAGGTGTACTTTTTTTCACAGAAAATTTTATTACCAAATGATATTTTAGCAAACCAAATTTTACATTTTAGCTTCTAAGAAATTCAACAGAATCTCTACTTAATGCACAATGGCTATTTAAAAAAGTAGAAAAAAAAGGTGGTCTATAAATAATTTGTGTACAAATCAATGTTAATATTATAAGCCGGATTAACCGAAAAAGCTAGTTATTGTGATGTGAAATAAAAACTTTTGGATGTATAATCTCGGCACAAAATTTTACCCGAAAAGTTAATTAATTTATGGGATCTCGTTGCCGAAAGTTACCTGCTTATGCAAATAAGGAAATCGCCTTTTGTATTTGTAGCATTATGAGATTGGCTTTCTTATATATTATACTAGTTCTGCCCCAGTCGACAGTGAAATACCAAATTTATCGTGGACGCGCAAACTGATTACACAAATAATTTCAAATGAAACTAAATCATCGATTTGCAAACTTTATGAAATGTGTAAATTGAACTGATCAGCAAAATCGCGTGTTTTATTAACCAAATAGTCGTAGCCGTCATGCCAGTGGCACTATTGCGAAATAGTAGAAGTCGAGAGAACATTTGATAAAACAATGGGCAAAATATGTCGTATTTTTGATGGTACTATGCCAGAAACTTTAATACCATACACTATACACTAATAAAACCGCAAATACAAATTAGTTTTTCGAGTGCAGTCTTCACGACTAGCGTCTTTTGGTACCCGGTTGCAAACAATCGTTTTTGTAACTATGACTAATAATACCCTCATCCTCGTTATACGTGTACTTTGGGAGTAACGACGAAAGGAGAAGATCTTCTACCGAGCGGGTGAAATTACTCATTAGACCGACGGTCCAAAGGTCGTTGTCCTGAACTCGTATATATTTAAACCTATCTTCAAAATGGCGTTAGTGAGATTTAAGCATCTGTCAAATATGTATTTTCTGTTCTGTGATAGCTACCCGCTAAGGTACGATCGTTCGGCATGGCGCTCAGTTGATGGGTTGTGAACTAAAATACTGCAATATGGACTGTATCTTTGGGGGGTCTTGAAAAAATAATTCAAATTAATATAGATATAGTTTACTTACTTTCATTGAAAAATCGTATCATGATTTGATAACACATTTGATTCTTCTGGACAGGTTAACAATCGTGAGCACTCGTGATCACATTTCCCGGTACGTACGACTTTCATTATATTTGAAGCTCAGCACTCAGTGTGGAAAGTGTTAGTTCTCGCAAGTGAGGCAAGGGAAAACACATTTAGTTACATACATAATAGTACTTTTGCTCTCTTGAGTTCGTACCTATCGCCGGTTATTTTTGGAGCTGTGGCTAATTCTTAAAACGGTGGTTGAGATAACATTTAAGGGGAGAGAAATAAATATCAATTTCGAGCCGAAACGCGATATTTTTTCGCACAGAAATGGACAGGAAGGAATATATACCCATGCACGCTCACATGCGTATTAAGTTCACGGTTAAGCAAATTTCGTACTATTATTTGTTTTTGTATAACTACGCAATATACAACGCTGTCGCTTATCGAATACTAGGCAGTATTTATTAAGAAAATACCGAGTTTTTTTAAACATTAGGCGTAGGGCTTGTAATGTGTGAACCGACATACATATATATCTATATTAAATTTGCTGCAAAGAAGTTGCTTATAAAGTGAAGAATATGCCATCCATATTTTTTTTAATACGCTTTTATTAGCTTCAGACGTATATGTATGTTAGTATGTAACGGAATCTCAGAACATGATTTTGACCCCTTTTAAACGTCGAATTAACTCTAAATTTGTCATACTTATTAAGGATCGATGACAATTCAGTATTTAAAAAAAATATTGAAAAACTTGAAATTCAACTAAAAAATGTAAAATAAATAAGAGTTTAAAAAAACTAAAAAAAAAAGTTTTTATAGAAAATACAATTAAACAATTAAAAAATAGAAAATAATTTTTAATAAATTTTAATTAAAAATAGTGTAAGAAAACATGATTTTATTATAAAAAAGTGTGGGGTGCTTTTCAGGATATTATCAAAATAACCCTTCTACTCATATCTGCTCATAAAATATTTATAACTACTGATACAATGCATGCATATATTATCTATATTAAATTCGCCGCAAAGAAGTTATAAAGTCGAATAACATGACATCCATATTTTTTTGTGATTGAGATTTCGTTTTTCTATGCCAAGGTGAAAGACGGCATCGGACGGACAACGACTTGTTTGCCCATCGAAAACAAAGAAAATCTTAAGGTTAAGCTTAAGGCATTTTTTTTCTTTTATACAGGGTAACCTTTGTTATCATTACGAAAGAAAGAAACCTCTGTCGACTCACAATGCTTGCGCACCTCCTCACTCTTCGTGTCAGCTCTGCGCCTCAAGTCCAGAATGTCAATACGTCAACTATATTCACGCACAGCCACTGCATTCTTGTGCTCAGTCCGCTCGGTCGTCTTCGTGTTGTTACTATTGTTAATTGGTTTTAAATGTATTGCTAGCTATGATCGATTTGAAGTATTTTAAATTTTGAATAAACTTTTATTTATTTTGCCGCCTATTTTTTTCTTTTAGAGGAATTTAGTGAGTAATGTTGTTTTAGATTTTTTTTACCTGCGCGAACATGCCCTCGTTCATTTTTTTCTTAAAATATTTTACAAGCTTTTAACTAAATTAAACAGCACCGTCCGCTTCAAGACAAAAGGTCAAAATCTCGGTTACCTATTGTGTGTGTTATTCTTTAATTATACATAAATTCCACCTTAAGATCGAGAAGAAATCTGATGATGTTAGTCCTTAAATCAACTGCGATGCAAAAAAAGGGTAAACTGAGGTGAATAATTATTTTTCGCTAGTATATCATATTTCTAACGAAACAATCGCACAACTCTCTTCGTAAGTAGTAAAACTCGGCCACCCTCGTGTAGCAAAATTAATGAAAAAACTACGCTATTTAGGCGAAGAAAATGTAAACTAAAAGTAAAGCTTGGAAGTCGTCGTGACCTAAAGGATGCCCGGTGCATTCGTGTCAAACCATAGAACGGTGCCCGAATCCCGCAGGCGAGATCTTTTCTAATGGAATACGTACTTAAGAAATGTTCACGATTGACTTCCACGGTGAAGGAAGAACATCGTGTACCTAATATAAATCAAACCCGAAAAATAATAATTTGCCTAATTGCTGGTGGCAGGACGTCTTGTAAGTCCGCCAGGACGTAAGTCTTGTAAGTCCGCACGACTAGGTACTGCCACCCTGCCTATTTCTGCCGTGAAGCAGTAATGCGTTTTGGTTTGATGGGTGGGGCAGCTGTTCTACTGTGTAAAAACGGAGACCTTGAAAGCTCGTGTCTTGAGGTGGATGGCCGCATTTACGTTGTAGATGTCTATGGGCTCCGGTAACTACTTAACACAAGGTAAGCCGTGGTGTTGGCCCGTCTACCCATTTAAGCAATAAAATTAAATAAGAAATCTAAAATTTCGATGTTTCGATTTGCATTGCCGTTTGTCCTGAAACTTCCTTCCATAAATAAAAGTTATTAGAGGACACTTCTTTAATTAACGACTTACAATCCCCCAATTCCAATCACGTGGTTGCAGAAACTACTCTCATTGTTTCGTTAAGTAAAATTACAAAATATCCACACATGATTTTTTTTGTTACAGGCAACACAGTCACCCAATGGAAAAAGAAAAATTTTGCGAATCAAAAATTTCGACAGTATAGTTTCTCAGTGATAAAAGTTAGTGAACATGTTCTATTTGTGCCCCATGTGTAGTTCTGTGTTTTCGTACGAGTGTCAGTGAGGTATAGTGGCAAATGCGAAGACGGCGTGGCTGGGCGGCGGCGCGAGCCCCACGGTGAGTGCCCGCGCGCACCATGCGCCGCCCGCTGGCGCTGCTGCTAGTCGCCGCTGCTAGCGTCGCTGTTTCCGCGCAAATCGCTTGGACGCCAATTTTTCTTGACGGCAGCAGTAAGTTTGACATATTTCCATACACACGGTAGGCAACGGCTTGGCTCTGCCCCTGGCATTGCTGAAGTCCACGGGCGACGGTAGTCCACTGAGTTTCTCGCCTTATCTTCTCAGTGGGTCGCGTTTCCGTTTCGCAGGTAGATTCTGCGAAGCACTGCTCTTGCTAGGGTCAGTGTTAGCATCACTCCGGTATGAGCCCCTTGAGCTCACCTACTAGTTAAAGGTTACGCTGGAATAGCCTCTCAAGGCTATTAGCTTAGGTAGGAAAAAAAAGAGCGACGGTAACCACTCATGATCAGTTAGACCGGATGATTTTCTGCCTACAAGGCTAATAAAAAAAAAAACACGTGTACATTATTTTATCAGGTATTACCAGAACATATTTCATTATAGAAATAAGCATCTATCTTTACCAAGGAGTATTACAACGTTTTTAGGTGTTCTCAAACTATTTTACATTTCAAATTCTAATCGATAGTTCGACGAGTAATAGGCAAAGTAACATTCTAATCCTTTCGAACGAATTAATTAAATGTAGCTCTCTGAGAACATACATACCTCCTTTTGTTATGTTATTATTTATTCATTTTGACAAATTTTATTTAATTAAACGATGATAAACATTAAACATCAATGAACAATTTTTTTTCTCGGCACTCAAACATTATGTGAAAAAACTAGTGATGAAATTATTATAATTTACTATTACGATTATATCGTTTGATAATCGACAGTTACGAATTCGATTATGTCTGTTTAATAATAAAACGTGCTATTATCGATAAGAACATAATATTTATTACGATAAAATAAAGCGGGCAACGATTGCTTAGAACTTAATAAGTTTTTTTTTTAATTTTTAACCTTTAGGTTTTAATTTGATTTTTTAATAGCATTTTAAATTTTTCAGACCCCAATATGCTTTTTTGTCATAAATATTTTCTAGATAATCTCGATAACCCAAAATTCCAATTAATCATGACATATCAATAATCCTTGATTACGATTAATCGAAATCGTATACCAACAAATAATCTGGACCTGGAAAATATTTAATTAATATACTGACTCTGCTGGGATTCGAAATCGGATCCGCCGCAGTAGTGTCAATAAACCTAGAGCAACGAGACGATCAGACGGTGATACAGGCGATGCATGACTCGCGAAATATATCTCCTTCGGATTTCCGTTGCGACATTTGTCGAACGCGGTCCTAAAAGATCGGAGGCATCAAGATCGCCAATCGATTCGATCCTAAAACTGGTTACGATTCTTTTATTTATTTATTAATATTGTATATATAGATTATGGCTCACTTTAGTGATTACCGGAGTCCATAGACATACCACTGTGCTCTTTGAGACTATGAGGTCGAAGTATCAATTGTATAGTATATCGAATCTCCTAGCCTTCAAATTGGAAAGTAATAACTCGCGGCAAAAATAAACAGAATAACATACCGTGCAAAATTATAAGAGGTTTTGCGTTTATGCGCATTTTATTGTAATAAGAGTTTTATAGTAGTGACTTACTGTAATTTTTACGGATTTTACAGCGTTAATGGTGGTCACCGATCTTGGATATTAAGTTTGATGTATTTAATTTATCGTAATAATGGATTATCGTTAAACTAGAATTGAAGCTTTATAGCAGGAATAGCTATTTTGGTATCACTTAGTAGGTTAACAATCAAGAAAATTATTGAGTGAAAATGACGATTTATAAAGTATACCGCTGTAAGCTAACCAGTCCATTACCCATACAAACGGACAGAGCGAATTGCGAGCCCGATCAGCTTAAACTTCAAAACAGTTTCAGTGGACTACCGTTTCGGATGTTTGTTTTCAACAATGGGAAAAGGTTGCGCTTCGTACACAATTAAATTGATGATAACAGACTCTTATTTCAAGTGTGTAGAGAGAAAACGTGAAGCGTCTACGTGTGTTCGTTTAGTTTATGTGTAAACTGTCTCTTTTTTGCTACGCGATAAGGCCGAAGATCTACAGGGAGAACTCGAACATTTATATTAGTTATTGAATAACTTACACGGAACACTTGAGCAGTGAAGATGTTTTTTTTATTTTATTGCCCTTGTAGGCAGACGAGCATACAATGCCAAGTGCAGAATAAAGCCGCTGCCTATCGCTTAATACTCTCCACAAGCTTTGTTTGAAGAAGGACATGTCACAGCGCTCGGGAAACACCGTGGAGGTGAGCTCATTCCATAGCCGGATGGTACGTGGCAAAAAAGACCTCTGGAAACGCACTGTGGATGATCGCAGTGGCTCCAGGTAGTATGGATGAATTCTACTCCGGTGGCGGGCGGTGCGATGGTAAAAACGAGATGAAGGTATCATCTCGAACAAGTGAAGAAACAAGAACACTAACGAATTGCAACAATTAAAACTTTTTTTACTGTATAATCTCGCGTTATTTAGTGTCCCGGTCACGCTACGACTCGCGAAACCCGAAGAATATCAATTGCTGTGGAGTAGAGTTCATCCATATTATCTAGAACCACTGCGTTCATCCAGTGTGCAGTACTTAACGGTAGACAGCGGCCACACTCTGCCCTTGGCCTGTCTAAGTAATAATGCAATAAAAAAGCGTTTCAAGTGTTATAATTGTGGGTGCAAAACGTCCTTTGATCGTAGGTCAAGTGGATCTCTGGACGCAGTCGTCAAGCGGATGCGCTTGTCCAGGCGAGGGCGGCGAAGAGTGCGCGTGTTGCGTGCGTGACGGCGCGTGTCCGTGCGGCGACATCGCGCCCGCCCGCTGCTCGCAGTGCGGACTCGAACAATACTGTGCTAATAGTAAGATAATTATTGGTAATAATTACGTAATTACTGGTGGGGGACCTCTTGAGAGTCCACGCGGGTAGGTACCACCACCCTGTCTATTTCTGCCGTGAAGCAGTAATGCGTTTCGGTTTGAAGGGTGGGGCAGTCGTTGTAACTATACTTGAGACCTTAGAACTTATATCTCAAGGTGGGTGGCGCATTTACGTTGTAGATGTCTATGGGCTCCAGTAACCACTTAACACCAGGGGGGCTGTGAGCTCGTCCAACCATCTAAGCAATAAAATAAAAAAAATTACAAAATTATCTATCTATATATTATATATATACATAAAAATGAATTGCTGTTCGTTAGTCTCACTAAAACTCGAGAACAGCTGGACCGATTTGACTAATTTTGGTCTTGAATTATTATATTTGTGGAAGTACAGAGAAGGTTTAAAAGGTAGATAAATATGAAAATGCTCGGAATTAAATAAAAATAATAATGTTGTTTTCCGTTTGATGTGTCCCCCGTTGCGTTGGACGGATTCCTTTTGTTTGTTTTAAGTTTATTTTATACAAAAGTTGAGATCTTTTATTTATCGATTGAGGAACTACGAAGTCTACCGAGTCAGCTAGCCTAAAATAAATATGTGTAAAGAAAAACCTCTTTAATTTTATAAATATTTTTCTTAGACAAGTTCACTCACTTGTCATTCAATGAAGTGAAATAATTCAATCCAAATAAGATTATAATAATATTGTTTAAAATATTCATTTAAATATAGATAATAAGTAAGCGTTGTTTTTGTATTTATATTACAGAAAATTACATTGTCTGGAGTATTTGATATCATTATTATACATAGTCAGGTCATAAATTCTGTCACATGTTTAATGTAAAATAATTGAAACAAGTTTATTCATTATGTAACCATTCATATACCAAAATAAACTTAATAAAACATAGATTCTTATGACACTAAAGTTTATTCAAAATGACCTCCGTGATTTTGAATACAGGCCTTCAATCTGCGCGGCCAGTCGTCTATCGCAGCACGAACGAGGTCCATGTCAATATCGGCGGCTACCTTAATCAAGGATGTCTTGAGTGACTCCAAATTGGGATGAGGCTTTGAGCACGCCTTTTCCTCCAAGTGTTGNATAATGATGTATCATCAGCGAATAATACGACCTCGTGACGGGTTTCAATAAACTTAGGTAAATCATTGATATATACAAGAAATAGGAAGGGACCCAATATGGAACCCTGAGGAACACCCATATTAAGTAAGACACCGGAAGATCTCGTTCCTTTAACGTCTACCTTTTGGATTCTTCCGGATAAATAAGATTTAATAAGTTCTAACATACATATATATCTATACTAATCTATACTAATATTATAATGAGGAAAGATTTGTTTGTTTGTTTGTATTGAATAGGCTCCGAAACTACTGAACCGATTTCAAAAATTCTTATATATTATAGTAACATAGGCCATAATCTTTTTTGAAAAAAATTAAGGATCCTTACTAAAACTCCATTAATGTAACCCAAGGTGTAAAAAATTTCCTAAAATATTCTTTACATCGCGTGCCCTGCGAAAACTATTGATGATAGAATAAAATAATGTACTGCGATTTTGTAGAGCACATTATCATTTGCAAAGTGTCGCGACAGCATATGTCTATATTGTAGTTATGCCGCAAGTGTTCTTTTATTTAAAAAAATAAAACCACTTCAAATATGGTTGAAATGGTAATTAATATTATTTTAATTCACTCAAACCGTTATCATGTAGAGCACACATGTGCTACACGAATAAAGGTAATACAGCGAAATCGACATGAAAGGAAGGTTGAAAATTATTGGATGTGACGGGTCCAACGTTGTCATACGCAGTCAGCTATGATCAATGTCCCGTCAAATCTAATATGGGAAACGAGTCGTCTTTGTAATACCGCCGAGCATGTGTTCCAAATGATACGCTCATTGTTCATTCTGTCAAAATTTTCACTTTTGTTATAACATTTTTGCGGTATATTTTAACTATCGATCGAATCATTGTGTATTACTAAATACAATACTAAAATAATTCACTTTTACTTCTGTGGTCTTTAGTGCTTAAAAAGCCATGCTTAACTCCTAAAAAGGCGTTCAGCATCAGTCCCATATTTTCAGTGAAGAAAGAAGAGCGAAAAGAGAAGGACCATTTCGTCTTTCCTGTCCTTATTATTGAGTATCTGTGCAACATTCCCCGAGTCATTTGGCGTCAACAAGGCTGGAAGTCCTCAATAGAGGAAAACGACACTTCACGTCTGGACAAAAGCTTTTGCTTCGGAATGCACCAGTTCGGTGTCCCTTGGGGTATTGATATATTTGATTCCATACAAAAGAAGACCATTTGGAGTGTCATTAATCCCGTTTTTTACGGATCGTTTGGAACCTCCATAGATAGAGAGCCTTTGGTTCTCTCTGTATTTTATACCGTATGATCCTTGGGGAGTGTTTTGAGGATTGTTTGAGGTGATCCCATGATCTCCTTTTTATCATCGCGCAGCCCATTACTGGAGCAGAGTTCATCCATGCTACTAAGAATCATTGCGTCAAGTCTAGTGCGTTTCCGGAGAGCTTCTCTCCTCGATGTTTCCTGAGCTCTATGACATACATATCTTTCTTCAAACGAGGTTTACTCAATGGTAGGCAGCGGATTGGAAATGGTCCATTAGCAATGGTAACCATCAACATCAGATGGGCCGTGGGCTGTGAAAAGGAGTAATTGTTGGCATCTGTCAAATTTATGATAAAGAGTCCAGTTATTTGTTGAATCAAACACTCATACCATATGTATGAAGGCTCGACAATGGCGCTGGTGGGAAAGACAACAAAAATTTTCCAACAGTATGGTGCAGCGTCAAGTATTGAACTCGTCCGGTATTAAGCCGTTTCTAGTCTCCGATTGATCGCAGTTCGTCAGGAGCAAAACTGCAGAGACGAAAAGCTTGCCTCTCTTTTCCAGGATATTCCTGATATGCCTTTGTAAAAGAATCACATTTACAGATAAATTGAAGCTACCGGTAACATTATTCATGATAATAATATTTCCGGTGGTTCAAACAAACTTTGTGAACCAACAAAAAGTTTGCGTTTAGATGACGTGACCTAGCATACATTACATACACAATACTCGGAACAGTTTGGTGTAACAATGTTTAGACTGTAATCACTTTGTGGTCCGTGACAGGAACTGCAGGCTTTGGTACGGCATTAGCCGCAACCACTGTTTGCATTCGTTATTCGTTTAATTTACTTGGTTGCGACCATAATAAGCTACAATCAGAATCCGCATTGTGGGACATCAACACAGACAACAAATTTCGGAAGATTTAAATGAATTGTTGTTCTGTTTTTGTTTTCATACACCTCTGCGTATCTTTAGAGGTTTTCTTCATAACTAGTTAAAGCTGTTACGCTACACATCTTATACATCTCGCCTTCAAAATCTATTGCAAGTTGATTGTGTTAAGTTAACGATTTTCATGTAAATTTCAACTATGAACACAATCATTTTTTAACTTGATAGGGTTACGCGCTGGGGTTCGGGATAAATAAGTGTTCCACCAAAGTATAACTTAAAACTGTACTAGCACTTAGAACACTCACAGCACACTTTAAAAATTTTAATTCACTTCTTTAGCTTCGCTTCAGGTGATCCGTTCGCTGTTTCGCTTCGAGTAGTTCTGATCACTAACTGACTGCGTGCCATTTCTGCAACACTTTTATAGTCGATCCCTAAATTTATTGAGTACATTCTGGGCGAATCGAGTAGCTTCGATGTGTGTGTGTTTCTGCTATCTGACAATAGATGGCGTTGTAATTCTCGATATTACTAGTACCTTCGACATTCGTTCGGCTATTTGGCGATAGATAGCGTTACTCTTACGTTAGGAAATGCATTCGCATACGCACTGTGGAGAAGACAAGCTCTCCAAGCATTTCTTAAATACTTATGTCTATCAAGATCCAAAACTTTATTCCGGCCGAGTATGAAGACATACTTTTTTGTAAATATAGAAATATCTCTCATTCAGTCTGCCATATTTCAAACTGAATACGAATGAACTTTGATGAGGTTACCACGGAATTAAATTTAAATTATATAGCATTTTATCTAAGTGTCTAATGAGAATTCCATCAATCAATTTATTAATTACTACAATAATTTGAAAGAAACCGTATTGTTCAATTTGCGTAATTACTGGTGGTACCAGGTGGTGGACCTCTTGTGAGTCCGCGCGGGTAGGTACCACTACCTATTTCTGCCGTGAAGCAGTAATGCGTTTCGATTTGAAAGGTGGGGCAGCCGTTTTTAACCATACTTGAGACCTTAGAACTTATATCTCAAGGTGGATGGCGCATTTACGTTGTAGATGTCTATGGGCTCCTGTAACCACTTAACACCAGGTGGGCTGTGAGCTCATCCCCCATCTAAGCAATAAAAAAAAACTAGAACATGAAGCATATTACTAAGTTTAATACATATGAATTTAATTATTTCATTTTTTTATTGCATAGATCGGTGGACGAGCTCCCGGCCCACCTGGTGTTAAGAGGTTACCGGAGCCCATAGACATCTTTAACGTAAATGACGCCACCTACCCGAGATATGAGTTTTAAAGTCTCAGTACAGTTACTTTAATTAAACTAATAGATAAATTTAATAAGATTATTATTTTTATTTGCGCAGTTGTGTAGGCGGATGGATCCAATTGAGTAGTGCAAGTGCAGTTCGGACTGATAGTGTGGCTGAAACTCGGCTATGTGGGGCGAACGAGCGTTACACTCCGCCTGTTGTACTCTTCGCAGACCATGGCGCAGCTCTGCTTGAGTTCAGGTATCAGAATTGCACAAGTGAGTTTTTTTTTCCTATCTAACCGAGAGCCTTGAGAGGCTATTTCAGCGTAACCTTAACTAGTAGGTAAGCTCACGGGGCTCAAACCTGACGACGTTGCTAACACGAACCCTAGCAAGAGCCGTGCTTCGCAGAATCTACCACCGGATCGGAAACGCGACCCACTGAGAAGATCCGGCGAGAAACTTAGTGGGCCTGTGTCTGAGGGTTAATTTACTCGTCGAGCCCTTCGTCGCAAGCGACGGCTTCGACGAGAACGATGACCGGGCAAGTTAGTAAAAAAATTACCGAACTCCCTTAGTTTAGAATTTTAGTTTTCTAAACTAAGGGACGTTGAAATGGCAGTGGGCAGGACACATTGCTCGTAGAACGGATGGCCGTTGGGGCCAGAAAGTTCTTGAGTGGCGACCGCGTACCGGAAGACGTAGCGTGGGTAGGCCTCCCACAAGATGGACCGACGAGGGGGGAGGCCTATGTTCAGCAGTGGACGCCTGTGGGCTGATAAGAAAAAGAAAGAAACTAAAAAAAGATATGAAATGTTTGTTTGATTTTTAAAATTCTACTTTCCGGCTTTTTAGTTACACTAATGTCTATGTTAATGAATGCTGCAATTACACGAAAAGTAATTCGATAAAGTTGCTACATAGTTGCTATGAATCGAATAGAAATTGAGTACTAATATATTATTTTCTTTAAAATTAAAATGTACGTAATGAAGACCTGCACGCAAATTCACGTAATTTTCGGTAAGCGCTACGGACGAAAATACAGACTTTTCAGCGTTTATCTCCATTTGAATTTCATTTCGAGAACTTGAATTCTGCTTGTTAGTATATACGAGCACTCGGAATCGCAACAAAAGATCGTCACAGCGGAACCGGTAATGCTCAGTTCGGAGTTGTGGCCAGGATACTACAGCGACAAGTGCTGCTAATGCTCAAATTTACTCCCGGAGTAGACTTCTCTTGAGATGTATTAGATTTAAAGGTTTTAAGCCTTTAGATCAGTTATATTGTACATTGACTGAAAAATTGTACTCTAAAGACACTTATTTAACGATTTATCTTGATCTGAATTATACTAATTCCAAATTACTGGTGGTAGGACCTCTTCTGAGTCCGCGCGGGTAGGTACCACCACCTATTTCTGCCGTGAAGCAGTAATGCGTTTCGGTCTGAAGGGTAGGGTAGTCGTTGTAACTATACCGAGATCTTAGAACTTATATCTCAAGGTGGGTGGCGCATTTAAGTTGTAGATGTCTATGGGCTCCAGTAACCACTTAAGACCAGGTTGGCTGTGAGCTAGTTAACCCATCTAAGAAAAAAAATATATGAATATAACACAACAAGCTTAGCTGCTGCTAAACCATTATATAAATGATCATTATTGACAAGGAAATATGTTTCTCTGTAGAATAATAGAAAAAACTGTGAGGTCTCAATTCCTGGCATTCTTCAGCTTCACCTCGCTGAGCAATACTCAAGGGGTGGGTTTTCACCCCAGTGGAGGCTCCCGGATACCGCACACAGGTATGTCGCACTGCTAAAACTATGATAGAAATAGTTGGAATTACAAGGAGCAACAGTCTAGTTCCGATTAGTTTTACCGTAATTTTGTAACAATTTGCAAGAGTACCTATAAAGGGTTTTCAGTTTGCCTACAATTAGTTCACGCTGTTAGTCTTACTTGACAATTTGTTTAAAACTTAGTGTGGAATATCTATGGAAATGTTTTTATCGGTTTTCTGGGAGCTTGTTATAAGCTGCAGTATAAACTAAGATTGCCTTTAGACATATGTCATATAAGTAAATAAATAAATAAATATTATATAAAAAAAATTCAATTACCTACAAATTGTTCTAAAATTAACGGTCTTAGCTAGGATTCTCTTCTCTGTCTCATGGATGCCGGGCTGAATGACAAGAAGTACATTTATATTCGTGGCGTACAAATTGCACGTGAATCATTACCGGATTAAGATCGAAAGGAATATTAGTTAAAATCTAAATCTCAATTTAATACTGGAGCAACCGGAGGGACACCAACATTATTTTTTGTCCGCATTTCAATTCTCGAGTTGACTACTTATCGGACTACAAATAAACAAGTATACCTAACCTTATTTCGGTCGACAACTGTCTCGAAAAGCCCGACAGGATCTCTTTGGAAGTACAGTAACACAAGTGCGGCGGACAGTGCGACCCTCGTCACAAGTTAGCTTATAATTATTACCTAAGCGTTTCGTCCCCTGCCTTCAACGACTTACACATTAGACAAGTTTATTTTCGATGATTCCATGTCGGACATTTTTTTTTTAACCATGAATGAAAAACGATTAATTCTCCAGGATGTGGATTAGTTTTTACCTGTCAAATATATTGGATAGAAGCAAGGAGCACCATCTTAGTGTATTAAAAAGCGTCCGATGAAAAGGAAGCAATGAAGGTGGCGCCATAATGGCAAGTGGGAAAATTTTGAAAACAGCGCCATAAATGACTAGAGTCGGACCCTAATTTAAGAAGGAAAGACACATTTCCTGTTTCGATAGTAATGAAAATAATTAGTTGAGATTTTAAGTACCGTATATTTTTTAACTACGAAAAATATTAAATTTATCAACTTGGCACACCTCACTCTGTTTAAAATATACACATCATTTCCATTTCCCACGCTAGCGCTATTTCGGTGAGACTTCCAACAATAACTTGCTCCCGGACGGCGTGCATGGCCGGGTTTGGGCCTTGGCTCTTGGTGCCCTAGGGGACCGACTCTTGAGGCTTTACAACTCCTGCCTCGAGTCGGGACGGTTTCCTTCATCGTGGAGGACGGGCAGACTCGTGCTGTTGAGAAAGGAGGGGCGCCCGGCGGATACTGCCGCCGGGTACCGTCCCATCGTGTTGCTGGATGAGNAATTATTAGTACTGTTAATTATAATATAAATTATTATTAATATTTATGCTTTATTCATATTTAATCATTTATACAGTTATTTGTGTTTTTAAACAATAATATAAACATTAAACATATTCTGAACATTTTCACATCAAAACAGTGTCTGCTAATTATTAAATATGGTAGAATAACAGTTTTGTTGCTAATAATAAATAAATATTAACATAGAATAAACTAAACTATATATTATTATGTTAATTATTGCCAACAGTGGCGTTTGCGCCCATAGACACGTACGAAGGATTTTTATCACGTTCCCATGGGACGTGATATAAAACGTGGTATAACAAAACGAAACTGATATGGAATAACAAAACGCAACTGACAGCTAAACCTAATATACTCTATGGTTAATTAAAGTAGAATTTTGAAGTCGACCGGTTGATGTGTTTTAAACAAACCGTGTGGACGAACAAAGTTCGCCGGGTCCACTAGTCAATGTTATTCATCTTCAACGGATTTGTACCAAAAATGCCGCCCTAACCTTTAAATGCAGATTTAAATTTCTTAGACTCTATCTAATACTATACCTCTCTAATACCTCTCAAATACTAATAATGCAATAAGCGTATGTTCATGAAATGGAAGCACATATTAAATATATTCATGAACAAGGATTAACTGAGGATTTCCTTACGCATATCAAATGCATCTAGTTAGCCTGGCGACGAAACAAAAGTAACCTCAAATTTGATTAGTTGTACAATACATATTATTATTATTATTTTAATTATTATTTTAATTGTATTTTATGACTTGTTTTTTCTTTTATTGTAAATATTTTTATTTATTTAAAAAAAGAAAATACCTGAGAAAAAACAAAAACAAAAAAAAGCCCGCTGAATTTGTTTCGCCGGTTCTTCTAAGGACTGTGGCTTTTTTTGGAACCGGTGGTAGAGTTAACATTGTTATTTGTATTTTGACATTCAACTAGTGTGTCATACTGACATCTAAGTTGAAATAAATGATTTTGAATTTGAATTTGAATTTGAATTTGAATAGATATTTGCAGTCAAAACTATTTCTATGTTATACAATACTCGATTCCTAAAAAAGTCGAATAGAGATTATACATCTTTATAATTTGAATGTGAACTGTTAACATTTCGAAACACAGTACTTTGGGTACTAAATAAGTAAGATCGATCACGATTCGTTGGGAGGAACTATCTCGAACTGAACTTCATAACCATGAAATAATAAACCGGTCACATCGTATCGTCGTCGCATTACGTTCCCGTTCTTTCGGAAGTATTTTTATCAGGCACCCGTATGAAATTCTCTCGTTCGAGTTTTGAAAGGCCGGAGAGAACAATCGCTTCAGTAAATAAAGGGCCGGCATCCGTATCTCTCTTCCACGCGCGTGGGCCCGCTCTGTCGTGTTCGGTTCAAACTTTACGAGATCACCGACTTTACGAACTTGCACGTTCATGTTGTAAATTATCACCGCTCGTAGTGCTGTGTTTTTGGAATACATCCATCTTAAAAATGCTTGAGTGTGACGGGAGACAAAATATGAAGGAAGCATTACCGTTTTCGTGCTGATTCACCAAAAATTACATTACAACACAGTTTTGTGTGAAAATTTTCTGCCGATTCATTCAGAAAGTTGCTTCGGAGACAATAATTCAAAGCTTGAGGGATAATTTTATTCAATTATAGACAATCCATAATATAAACTTTCTTTTTTATGTACCATGTAATGCTTTTATGCTCATCAGATATGTATTGTGTTGAGTTTTTCATAGATTTCATTTTTATTGTTAAGTGATTGTTGAATATCAACATAATTAGATATCATTTTGTAAATATTTTATTATGTCTATTTTATATATTTTTAATAGTAATATATGCAACATATTTTTACCTACTAACCACTCAGAACTGAAACTCGAGAGCGTCCCTTCTCATATATTAATTCATTATAACAGTTAAACAACACATTTAATTATTCTCAGGGGATCTAAATGAAAAAATAAAACTCCAGTTCGTGCAGTTTTAATGTACGGTACTGTATTTTATTCATGCAAACTTTAAAGCACAGCAGATGAGACATTCTCGACATTGTAATATTTCCGATATTAGATTATAGAGGGCTTCTTTATTAAAAACGTATTTTAAGAGGCTTCTGCTTGAACGTTATTGAACTGTTATTCATAGTTCGCGACGCATTCTCCGGTTTAAAATTTCAACTTTGTTTTTCTAATCGTACTTACCAGTTGCCCGATAATGCTAGGAGAAATGGCGCGAGGAGAAATAAAAATGCTATCCTAAAGCAATAATTTATATCATCTAGTAGGTACTTAAGTTGTTCACACTTGGCCGAAGCGTAACATTACAGTCATAAAATTGTCTAAAATCCCATTGCAGTGTAGTTTTGAAGAATTATTTATACCCATCGCTTGGTATATGCTTGGTGTACTCAGAAAAACTCCGTTAGAGCAATGAATATATCATACATGCATTATTACATATAATGGTATTCTCAAAACATTACATTAAAACAGTAAAATGTTATTATCTAGTAAAAACTAAGCATGCTTCACTTTGACTAAGAAAAAAAAATGTGGATCAGCTCCGGCGCACGATTGGAGAGCGATTGTCATTGGACATTTAATAGGCAAAAAGGGGGAAAAAATCACGTTTGGCACTCGGGGACTGCCGCGGTAAAGCAATTGCATAGCATTTTTTATCAACATATATAAATTCATATGTTGATGAATTAGACAATAATAATTGAATATTAAAACATTAATACAATAAGACAACGCTATATTTATCAACATTAACAAAAGCTAACAATTAAGTGTCCCCTTCACACTCATAAGCTAGACTGCTCTCGAGAGAGAGGTGGGCAGACTTTTCATGATGCGCATGCAGTGAGACGTCACGCCGCGCGCTTATTCATAAACACTACACAAGCAAAATGTGTGAATGTGTTGAACGCCAGCTACATGGTAGGCTGAGTGGGGGTGTTAGGTTTTATTTTCGTTACAGAATTTCTTGATTCGGTCGCCACGCTCTAAGCCACGATAAAAGTTATGCAATGGCTTAAAAACGAATGTTTTAAAATACTGATGCAAATTATATTTATTTGTTACATAATTATCGATTTAATAAAATGTTAAACAAAAATCAAGTGTATACGAGTATGTCATATTATTATATACGTGTGCTGATATTTGTAGTCAGGTGTACGTACATATATTATTATGGCATGAAAAGTTACTTACTTTTGAAGTATTCTGTTAGATTTTAGAACCTAGTTAAGATAAATGGCTATGAATTACTATTTTAAATACTATAGTAATTGTTCAAGTATTAAATCGCGGCTGTCTTTGTCAAATTTTAGTATATTGAATATGTAGTAAAATAAAAATGTTAAATAGACATTTTATTAAACTAACTGAAAAAACATAACTCTTAGTGCCTATCTAATTATTGTACCGAACTTTTAAAATGAAATCGATCATTAAGGAGAAAACTCGGAAAATGTAAGACAAACATCAATTTGTCAAAGCTACTCGTACGCCCCTATGTTGATGGCCATTTGCAAAAACTTCTCAAATGCCCACAACGACTGCATGAAGTTTCAAGTCAATCTTTTTCAAGAAATTTATATTAAATTAACAGCATACATTCCTTTTCAAATATTAGATTTCTAGTTACTACATTTACCATGAAAAAATTCAAGTTACCTTTACCTCTCTATCAGATACCACTGAAATAGCTCATGCAAATGACACGCATCAGACATTATAATAGAGGATCTATTGATAACAACTGGCATAGAAAAAAATATAAGGTAATTGGAATGTATTTCGGTAAACACAAAGTTGATACCTATTCTAAATAAAGGCCAGAGTTACGTCGTAATATAAAGGATTACTGTAATATTTTTTTACAACATTACATTTTTACTGTAAAAACGCACGCGGTTGTAAAAACGCCGTTACAACAACAAAAAAAACAAATGATTAAAAAATATTAAAAGAAAGGTGCACATTTCCGAGGCAATGAAAATTATATTTACACTCTTAATTACAATTTTCACATGTTCCAAGATTTACCTTTTAAGCAGTAAATATTGCTGGAACAAAAAAATTCTTAACAATCCTTTATTTTGAAATCTTAGGCCGAGACTTAAATATTTTTTGACTTGTGTAGGTTTATTTCTAAATTTACAATGTTTCTTTACCGAAATGGGTCCAGACGGGTCCGAAACGGGTGGGTTCAGACTCGTATTAGCTTAGAAAACATTTTTGTTGAAAACTTTGTCTCCTTTACAGTCACTGTACATGGGATTATCTGACGTTAAGGGCTGGGAGCTCGCCGTCAGCACCGCTACTTGCCTCGCTTTGTTCAGAAAGAATGGCGACATTGGAACATCCCGGACCCAATTTACTATTAGAGTTCAAGTAAGTTGGCAAAGATACAGAACTGTGTTACGACTGACTGTCTCTTTGTTACGTAATTTTGAAGTGAGTGCTACATGTACTAAAGATCTTAACAGCTAAAAACTTTCCAAGGTGCAAGAACTTAAAATTTGAGTGTGTTGTCTTGTCAACATGACTGCTGATCTACAAGTAAGTGTATTAAAATGAAAATATGTTTATTGTGCAGGTCTGGTCCTTTGGTGCCTCCTTACGATTATAACGGGTTCATAGCTAAATTAGAGTTTATTGAGCGACTGGACAGCAGTGGAGCGCCGCCTACTGTGTTACCAGCTTCCCCCCCACTAGCCGCCCTTACACATCTTTTAGATAATGGTAATTCTCCCATCATTATTTTATTGCTTATATGGGTGAATGAGCTCACGGCCCACCTGGTGTTAAGTCTTTATCGGTGCCCATAGACATTTACAGCGTAAATGCCGCCACCCGCCTTGAGATATGAGTTCCAAGGTCTCAGTATAGTTACAACAGCTGCCCCGCCCTTCAAACCGAAACACATTACTGCTTCACGGCAGAAATAGGCAGGGTGGTGCCTATTTCTGGTGGTGGTACCTACCCGTGCGGACTCTTAAGAGGTCCTACCACCAGTAAAAATGTTACTGTTAACCAGCTTAAAAATGTTTTTTTCATTGGCCTATTTATTATAAATTTGTTTCGCATAACAATTTTTGCATTGCATGTTTGTTTTATTAAATTCTTAGGTGATGCAGCGTTGGACGCGTTGGGTTCGAATGAAGTGTTCGCAAACAGCGGAGGTCGTATAGGTTGCGGCGCTATTGTCCGAGGGTACGGCCCGGGCGGCCTTCGCTCGGGTCATTTCGACACGCGAGCCACGACCTGGCGTACGCAGTGTACAGTACATCTCATCGGAGCTGCCACCGATGTTGTACAAGTCTCTTTGTTTAATTATAACTTAAGGTAGGCTTAAAATCCTATTTGTTTAATGGGTATGGGTAATAATAATATTAAAGTGTAGCAAAGTAATGTAAAGCTACAGTACAGTAAAGCTAGTATTAAAGAGAGTATCTTATATATTAATGTACTAGCTTTTGCCCGCGACTCCGTTCGCGTGGAATAATTACTTTGGCATAACGCTAAATTTTATCCCCCACTTCATTTACGTAGAAAGTGAAAATATTTTGAAATATTCTTTATTGGTACTCCACTTGTATTGGTATTACCGTTGTTATATAGTCTATAACCTTCGTCAATAAATGGGCTATCTAACACTGAAAGATTTTTTTAAATCGGACCAGTATTTCCTGAGATTAGCGCGTTCAAACAAACAAACAAACAAACTCTTCAGCTTTATAATATTAGTATAGGTAAATAAACACATATGGACATATATAAAGAGAGCGAAGCGGGATTTCATATCTCAACAAAGACTTGTGCTTATACAAAAAAGTTACGTTGTTCAAACTAGTTGAATTTTTTTATTTACAATTCTATTTATTTCCATCAAAGACTTTGGAGATTCTTATTAACTTTTAAATTTGAGATTTGTGTAACCAAAATATTTCGTTTAATTATGTTTAATTCATTTCCATCGCACTTTTCAAATTTAATTTTCTCAATTCAGGTTACAAGGCTGTAGGTCTCATATAGAAATTTTAGAAGGTCTCCACGAATTTAGTTCGAGAGAAAGAGACAGGTCTGAGAAAGGAGATCGTGCTCTGCTCAAGGTGTGCGGGCCCGCCGCTCGAGAAGCCAGGGATCCGTCTGGAAGGTTCTTGATACGTCAAGCTGTGACTTCGAAAGGTGCTAATTTGACGATAATGGTGCGAAGAGCATTGTCACAGAACGCAGAGGAGGAGGAGTTTGTTGATGGTGCATTCGCGTTTCATGACGGTAAGCTGTTGTTATCAATACTCTTTTTCTTCTTCATCGACGTTCCCTCATTACTGAGGATCGCGACCACACTATGTATTTCTATGAAGGTCTGTTGCGAGGTGGATCGCCTCTCGGATGCTGCCCCCATCTGTCCTCCTTATAGTATCCGACCATCGTGATGGTGCCCTACCTTTGTCTCGTTCCCCCTCCACTTGACCAAGAATGAGAAGCTTTTCCAGACTTTAGCTGTTATCAACATTGTTGTATCAAATGAATATTTGCTTTCTCTTGTTACATGTATTTGCACGCAATTTTTCTACTTTTTTATTTCTTAGATGAGTGGACGAGCCCACATCCCACCTGGTGTTAAGTGGTTACTGGCCCATATACATCCACAACGTAAATGCGCCACCAACTTTAAGACTTTAAGATATAAGGTCTAAGGTCTCAAGTATAGTTACAGCGGCTGCCCCACCCTTCAAACCGAAACGCATTACTGCTTCACGGCAGAAATAGGCAGGGTGGTGGTACCCACCCGCGCGGACTCACAAGAGGTCCTACCACCAGTAATTACGCAAATTACAATTTTGCAGGTTTGATTTTTATTACATGATGTTATTCCTTCACCGTGGAAGTCAATCGTGAACACTTGTTAAGTACGTATTTCAATAGAAAAATGGGTACACGATTACGTTGTAACTATACTGAGACCTTAGAACTTATATCTCAAGGTAGGTAGCGCATTTACGTTGTAGATGTCTATGGGCTTCAGTAACCACCAGGCTTGCTATGAGCTCGTCTACCCATCTAAGCAATAATACCTTATTTTTACCTATATTAAAAAATACCTTATTTTTTATAAGGTATTTAGTGAACTTATTTTGTATTAGAACAACACGAAGGGACTGCCTCGCCGGACGCAACGTGCGCGTCCACGCATTACGGTCTCGCTGCACCGGCCCACGGAGGAGTCTCCGCACCCTCGCATCATCATATATTCTGGAATATAGAAGAGAGACTGCTGTGTACACATCGGTTTATACCGGCCTCAAATCAAAGTGTTACTGTGGAGGTAAATAAATTCAAACCTAATGAATAGAATCTAGAACATTTTTTTTTATATAAATTGGCTGTATATATAATAATATGTATATGCTACGCTTGGAAGAATTTATTCTACTTATTTATTATATTATTTATAAGATAGAAAACGAAAAGGGACAATTTGAATAGTATAAACAAAAGGCGAGATGAACTCAGCCATGACTTTTCTTCCAGGAAATCCAAATCAGAAGAACTTTATAAATGTGGAAAAGCGTACAACATATTAGAGAAAATATTTAATTAAATTTTATTTAAGCGGTATTTAATTAAAAACAAATATTTTTACATTGTAACGTATTGTAACATATACCAAATATATTATACACTTATGTACATAATATACACACACATTCAAATCACAATCTGAATAAAGATATCTGCCGAGTGAACTGTTCCTTGTTTCTATTTTTTTATTTTCTAATCTTATGTGACTATGGTTGTATTTTTTTTAATGCTATGATGTATAGACCCGCCTACAGTCTACCCGGTGTAAATCGGATACCGTAGACATAACAAGGTAAATAAATCCGGGCACCTTGAAACGTGAGTTAGAAATCTCGAAGAAGAATAGAACAGTATATATATATAATATTCTTTGTGATAATGGAGCGTCTCAAATTACGCTCTGACGCACGTGCAAGTACTTAGACTAAAAATGACGCAGAAGGGACTTAGACATTGAATTAACATTGCCCGCTTTCGAAATATAATTTTTCATTGATTTTACTGGTGGTAGGACCTTTTGTGAGTTTGCACGGGTAGGTACCACCTCCTATTTCTGCCGTGAAGCAGTAATACGTTTCGTTTTGAAGGGTGGGGCAGCAGTTATAACTATAGTTGAGACATTAGATCTTATATCTCAAGATGCGTGGCGCATTACGGCTGTGAGCTCGTCCACCCATTAAGCAATAAAAAAAAAACAATCGAAATTCGAAATTTCTTTTTTCTCATGTTCGGGATGTGATTAAAAACGTATTCATTGGCACCAGATCCAGCGGTTAGACCGCATGTGGAGCGCAGAACCCACGGGGACCACTGGCGCTTCTGGATGCAGGACGGCCTGTGGCGACGCTGGGTGTGAATGCAGAGCACAAACCCCGCTACATTATCACGATCACGTGGCGCTAGTGGCTGGAGACGGAACCCACCTCTCCTGTCTGTGCGGCGATTTTCAGGTCACGTTATGAATCATTATGAATTTAATTTCGAGATTGAGATTGAGAGATTGAATTTGAGTAAGCAGCACTCAGAGTAACACGTAAGCTTGCTTCATTTTAAGTTATCTGTTTGCTAAATAATGGATATATTTTTTTCTGAAACTATTAAGTATAATAGAACTAAGTCAATTCAGATTATACATAATTTGATATTTAAATAGTATTTATTATGAAAAGATTAGACTTCTCTCTGTAACCTCAGGCCCACAAGAACCATATCACGTCAGTGTGTGGGGCCCGAGGCGGCGGATTGGACATCAAGCTGTCATTTGACAGCGATAGGTTTTTACACGTTTTATATTAGCTTCACTTGTATGTATGTTTGTATGTTTGTAACTGACTCCTTTAGACGCGATTTTAACCCACTTTAAACGGCTAGATTTCATTCAAACTTTGTAGATTTATCGAGGACCGATGACAATACACTAATTTGATAAGATTATTCCAGTATTCAATTTGCAAAATAAGATTTTTGCCAATTTATATACTTTATATCTATACTCGATAAGGCAGGAATAGATGTTAAAGTACTTAATAGTTTTAAAAATACACTTTTATAGAAAATTTAACTAAAAAATGAAAATATAATAGTTTAAAAAAACTAAAAAACACGCTTCATATAAAATTCAACTAAAAAATAGAAAATAAATTTTAATAATTTTAAATTAAAAATAGTGTAAAATATATTTTATTTTAAAGAAAGCGTGGGGTGTTTTTTAATATATTATTGAAATAATATTTCTTCTACTCATATCTGTCAGAAAAATATTTATAACTAATAACACCATGCACCCCACGCTTTTTTTACAGTAAAATATATTTTACAATAATTTAAATTTATTAAAGTTTATTTTCTATTTTTAGGTGAATTTTATATAAAGCATGTTTTTTAGTTTTTTTAAACTAATATTTATTTTTACGCTAAGATCTTCACCCACCAGTCATCACTGAGCCAACGGAATCTGATATCTGTCGTTTTATCTACGCCATTGGAATGAAAAATATTACCTGCTCGAAACACGGCTTAATTGCACGACTACAAATACACGAACCAAGCTTCTTGCCTATTAACGGTCACGGACGCTTCATATAAATATTTAATTCGCTCCGCTGAAACAAACCGTTGACCTTACGAAAGCGCTTCCAAAATGTGTTATGTAATTATTGCGAGCTCTTTCAAAGACGACAGCAAATAAATTAATCGTGTTACTTGGGCCTTATGCTAACGCGGCTACGGGATGAGCCCACCCTGACAGAGGCGGCGCCCTCGCTCGCGGCTCGATCCGCATAATTAAGTAAGAGGGTTACTATTAAGTATGTAACAGCAATAAAGTGTGGGACGTCCATCCCAGCGAACAGGGACTTCTACATAAAAGGTATTACGTTGCTTTCGTATAAACCTTTATTGCTTTTTCATTACGACGCAACGTTATGAAATATTTGTAAGATCATTGAATAATTTTCGTAATAATTTATATTGTAATTGAATTTCGTTTTAGATTCATTGAAGTGATTCTCCCGCTCGTAATTTAAATGTTTTGAGGCGTAATTAAATAACGATTAACGCAACCCACCGATGTCTCGTGATTTAAACTCACCAAAAATATAAATTTATTTATGCATATACGTATTATAGTCTACGCTGACCCGGCCCTATTATATTGGCTTGTGGAACGGGTACATAATTTAATTATTAACAGTACTTTACCATTTATGAAGAGGTGACGGCGTCCGTGCGTAATTACTCGTATTACGAGGGCACGTAGATACAAAATACATGTATCTTCGACGATATAGGCGACGGTCGCGATGTCAACCATCCTATACCTATAAACACGAGATGGGTTAACCGGTAATCCGTACGCTCCTGTTGTTAGTGAGCGAGCTACGCTGCTCTGACGTCCACTTTCGCGACTCTGGAAATTCAATTAAATAGTTTCCAGCGTAGTAAACGTATGTAGTAGGTACATCGTTTTACCGGTACACGATCCAATAGCGTATTTGTCGAAATACCTTGAACCACATGAGTTTAGTCACACACGTGAAGGTATATCAAGTTTGTTGTTTGTGGTGTTTTAATTAGTTGAAATTTCTGAACAGAACATTATTGTTTTTTTCAATTAAATGACATAAAAAAAAGGGATAGGACCTCTTGTGAGTCCGCACGCTTAGGTACCAACACCCTGCCTATTTCTGCCGTGAAGCAGCAATGCGTTTCGGTTTGAAGAGTGAGGCAGCCGTTGTGACTATACTGAAACCTTAGAACTCATATCTCAAGTTGGGTGGCGGAATTTACGTTGTGGAAGTCTATGGGCTCCGGTAACCACTTAACACCAGGTGGGCTGTGAGCTCGTCCAACCGTCCACCGTCAAAACGTCAAACTATGCCATAAATAAATAAAAGTTGGTTTTTGTGTATAACGATTAAGAGATGTTTTATTTTGTTGTGGAACTGTTCGATTCCAAAGGCCCTAGTTCCTATTTTAAGTAGTAGGGTGGCAAGGTATACTGCAAGCATAAACGAATACATTATTTCAATGATTACCGAAATCAACGTTCCAAACACAAAAACAAACTCTAGAAAGATCCTCGAATCAATCACTGTTTAGAAATTGTGCAATCAAATAGTAATTTGTATTCATCAGGCTGCTTGGTTGCCTGTCGTCGTCCGTAGTTGGACCAGCGTCCGCCTGGAGTACTCCGTGGCCCACTACACGTATGCGAGTAGGGGATTCGATTATGCCGCTGCATATAGTTTCAACGATGATGCCATGTGCGGGCAGAGAACATTTACAACACATTCAGGTAAATCTAATTCCAAATTTAGAAAAAAAGATGTGTGGTGGCGTGGGACATCGGATTGGAACGAAGTTCCTTATTATAAAAATATTAATTTTAAGTTCTATTCGAGGTATAAAGAAAATAATTCTTCAGGGTATACGTTTTTTATTATGATGTTTTAATTGATAAAAACATGAAAACTACTTCACAAAGTTATCAACTTTATTTTATTCACAACTAGCTGACCCGGCAGACTTCGTAGTGCCTCAATCGATAAATAAAAGACCTCCATTTTTGTATAAAATAAACTTAAAACAAACAAAAGGAATCCGTCCGATGGGGAACACATCAAAGGAAAAACCAAATTGTTATTTTTATTTAATTCCGAGCATTTTCATATTTATTTACCTTTCAAACCTTCTCTGGACTTCCACAAATAATTCAAGACCAAAATTAGCCAAATCGGTCCAGCCGTTCTCGAGTTTTAGCGAGACTAACAATTCTACAAGACTAACAAGAACAGCAATTCATTTTTATATATTATACAGATGAAGATGATTTATAAAAAATATATAATAAAAATATGTTATTTTTTGTACGTTATTACAAAGTTAAGTCGTACACTGTGTGCATTGCTAATAAAATCTAACGTTACGGACGTTTTTTCCCGGTTAGGGTACCCCTCCGCATAGTCCAATAAGGAACTTCGTTCCATTAATATCATCTAACATGGATAGTATACTCATGTAGACGTGTAGTCGTTAAGTTGATCCACGATTTAAAGTCGTAGTAGCTTAAAGGACGTGTCTTATCCTTTACGATGTGACTTTAGCGGTGTTCAAATCTCGCTAGGAGGTACCAATTTGTTGTACAAGGAAACAAGTAGCTGACACGTGCTCTCGAATAACTTCCGCGTTGTTGGAATAAATAGTTTGTAATAAAAATTAAAGTCAAATCAAGAATATATGAAATAATAATATTTGGTATTATTGTGCGCACTTTAAGCCCGCGCTGGTAAGTGTTACCAACTTATCATTTTTTGACCGCGAAGAAGTCATGCGTTACGGGTTTAAGGATGGGACTACGGTTTTAAAATACAAGTGAGACATTACGTCCAAGTTATTGAACAAAAAAAAGTTATAACATGTTCACTGAGATTATCCGCGTTACATAAGCAAACTCGTGTTGTAGTTGAAACATTTTCTTTTATTCCTTCACATGTTTATTTCTTACATATTTTCCCACAACTCAATATTAAATTCTGGCTTGAGATTTGGATTATATGTATGTGTTTAAGTGGACTGCTGTAAAGATGTACATGGATTGTGTATGTTTTAGTGTTTTTTTGCTTTAGTTTTAGTAACCACGTAAAAGGAATTGATCCGTCAACTCAACGATTAATCACACTACCAACAAAAGCCTACATTTGCGCTCGGGCAATTTATTTACAGATTTATATTTCAGTAACAAGACAAAGATGTAAATTGTGAAATTCCCTTTAATTCGACGGAGTTGTCTCGCTGGGGACCAGGTAATTTGAGTTTTATCTCGGATGAACTCCGCAGGGCCTCAATCGCGCGAACCGAAAACAAACAGTCCTATTTGACATTCGAAGCGCGTCTCAGACGTTTGGAAAAATCCGTCGGATATTGTTCCCGGTGGCGCGGCGGGCGTCCGAGAAAATTGCCACGACCTAGTTCGGAACCGCCTACGGTAGCAGCACTGAATCGAAAAAGCCTCGAACAAGATCGTAAACTTCCAATTACAATGTCGCTGTCCCGCGGTGACCCGCCTCGTCTGCCTTTTGCTCGCATTATTGACCCAAGAGATGGCCCCTCNTTGGAAAAATCCGTCGGATATTGTTCCCGGTGGCGCGGCGGGCGTCCGAGAAAATTGCCACGACCTAGTTCGGAACCGCCTACGGTAGCAGCACTGAATCGAAAAAGCCTCGAACAAGATCGTAAACTTCCAATTACAATGTCGCTGTCCCGCGGTGACCCGCCTCGTCTGCCTTTTGCTCGCATTATTGACCCAAGAGATGGCCCCTCGTCGCCACCTAGAAGTCGTATTTTCCCCGACATTTTATCCGGTAACTTCCTTTCTAGGTGAGATTTCATCGAAGAACGTGTCCGTCACGGGAAGCTTAAACGAGTTTTTCTATCAGCAGTGCACTTGGGTGCTTGACTCGAACGTCGAGAGACAGCTTTTCATAGATATAACATCGGAACAGGTGAGCTGGGTTTAGTTTTCGAAGATTTGTTTGAAATGTATATGTAATTAAAGTCGATTTTCAAAGGAGGTTGGGACGTGGTTTTCGTCTTTTACTTTTAAAAAAATATGATAAATATACACATTTCAATTCGGTCATGACAATGTTACATTTTGCGGTCCTCTTATGTGAGAGTATAACCTGAGTTTATTTTTTTAAAGACACAATATATACGTGTTAAGCAATTGTTCATATGCTAATTGTTTGTTGTTGGATAGACTAATTGATTCATTTACTTTTCACTTTATTTATGCAAGCTGCTTTATACAATTTGTTCCAAATTTATTATTAAGGGTCACTTTCATCACGACCCATAACCAACATAAGAACTTGCTAATATTTTAATTCAATTATGCCTTGAAAAATATTATAAAAAAATTATCGCATTAATTGAAATATTTAATTTGAAAATTTGAAGTCGTTGTAGGGTACCGATTTAGATTGTATTAAATGTTTTTTTTAATCTTCATTATTTAGCAGAAATCGCTTTCATGTTAAAGCTCTCACTGTATTTACTGTGTTTTAGTTTTTGGGAATTTCATAGTATTGGCTGTTAGGTAGAATCACAGGCACCGGTCACTGTCTTCGTCGAACCCGTTGCGACGAAGGGCTCGACGAGCGAATTAACCCATAGACACAGCGCACTGAGTTTCTCGCCGGATTTTCTCAGTGGGTCGCGTTTCCGATCCGGTGGTAGATTCTGCGAAGCACTGCTCTTGCTGGGGTCAGTGTTAGCATCACTCCGGCTTGAGCCCCGTGAGCTCACCTACTAGTTAAGGTTACGCTGAAATAGCCTCTCAAGGCTATCAGCTTAGGTAGGGAAACAAAAAAGAATCACAGGCAAATAAATAGGTAACTAAAACCGACCTCCTGCCACTGCTGTCGGTTTTGTTTATTCAAATTACTTAACAGGATAAGTCGTGTGGTTCATGGAATATCACCCTTCACGAGTGGTCTGGAGCAGGAGCGCACAGCGACGCAGGTCTCTCGGGAGCGGCGGGAGACCTCCTCTATACGTTCTGTGCAAGACACAAGAACCACACATATACGTTGCCTTGGAGACTGAACACCCTTGTTATAAGGTACGTGATGTCACGATCAATCCGAGTCGATGTATTGTAAGTCGATGTAAGTCTGCACTAGAAAATGTAATTTACGACCACTCACACTTAATTTTGGTGCTAAGCAGTTAAGCATTCTAGTTTGAAGGGAGAACAGGTTACAAAACATTTGAGGCTTCGAGGTCATGTATTAATGTAGGTAATGGACATTCTGGTATCTATAAGCTCCAGTAACACTATAGTGTCTCGTGAGTTTAATTGAATATGCAATTTCGAAAAGGGCACATCACTGAAAATGTAAAATGTTCAGGAAATGAAAAAAAAACTGATTATTTTCTAAAGCAGTGTAAAATTTAAAGTATTAACTTTTGAGATATATTTTAGTGTTAATTAGCAATTGAAAATTACTGGAATTATTTTAAAATGGGTGTAGGTAAGCCTCAAAACTACATGTATGTGAAAAAACGTATTTGATAAAATATGCGACATGTACCCTTTTAGAAATTGCATATTCAATTTTTCTCGACACTATATCCTCTATACAAGATCCTTGAGTCCAGTTGGACCCCTAGAGGTTGACACCACTCATTTAGGGGAATCTAAATGATTAATTTCGAGAAAGAATGTTCTAAGTAATAAATGAACCTTTTTGAAAAAGATAAAAATAATTCAGAGAAGTGTAGATAGAGTGCGTTTTATCGTTACATCAACGTTTCAACTAACACGCGCCCCCGCTTGATTTAACAGAGCGCTAAATAAACAAAGAAGAACACACAAGGAAGTCGAAGGAAAGTTTTATACGTGAGCTTTTAGCGCGGCCTAAACAATTTTCAAAAGGAGCGCTTTTCAGATGTTCCATTTGATAAATTATTTATAAATGTCCCTCGTTCTTAATACGGCAACCGACGAAACGTGCCAAACGAGTATATGCGCATGCTTTTATATGTACTATTTGATACAAAGATTTCTTTCCTTTGTGCATATTAGAGAAGCCTTAAGAGGGTACGTGGCGTGGATCCTAAATGACATCTTCACTCGTAAATCCCAAATAACGACGTGTGAAAACACATCTTCACGAAGAATCAAAAAGGTCTCACGACAGATTCGTGTTCGTAAAAGGTTTCCGTCCACGCCTTCACATTGGCAAATAATCATCTAATTCAACCAGCTCTGCAATTTAGCTTCATTTTCGAGCATATTGGCAGCAATCGAAGTAGGTTATGGCTAACTACGAGTAATAAAAACGTGCAAAGACGCATTAGTATCGACCGAATTGAACGAAATAATTGAAACCATTATTTTGTCGTCGACAACGCTTATTTTAAGTTTATTAACTCCACTTTTAGTTGGTCTCTAGTATGCGGCATAAATTATTTGTTTTGCAAATATCTACAAATTTTTGTCACAAATCGTGTATTTTATGAATTTAATACATTTTATACAAATAAACTTGTTACACTGAAAAAAAATTTTGTAGGTATATATAAAATTTTAGTTTTTCTGTTTTAGGTTGGTAGCACTGTCGCGGCAACAACCATTGTACACGATAAGGTGGCGTTCACAAGTCGTAAGAGCGAACAATCGCTTGGGACCCCCGACACCCGTTCCCGCAGCCTCGGCCGCGGGCAATGGGCTCACTATCTCGTACATCTTGTATTGCGTCTTATATTGCATACTACAGTACGCTTTATAATTTTGGTTATTAACGAACTAGGAATTGTAAACGAACTAAAAAACGTAATGGAGTGTTCCGTGATTAGATTTAAACGTCAACAAACATTTTGTAATACATTTTATACATAGGCAATTAATTGAGATATATTGTATTGACCACAGCATTTTTAATATTTGAACACTGTGATTTATGTCACTTTATTTTTTTGCAATTCAATCTCTTTAAGGAGTATGCAAATAATTGAGAAACACTTGCGTTCATTTCAACTTTCTGATATGTTTTTTATGGCTTATTTAAAATCATTAAAACGATTCTACGACAAATCGTGCTGTTATTATAAGCAAGAAAACAAGTTAAAATGCTTAATGAAATTATTTTCTTTATATCTATATAACTAATAGGTGTTTATGTTGTGTAATGATTTGCATTGTAGTTAGTAATGAATTTAGCATTAAATGGATTATGTATTGTCAATTACGTAACTAACATTTGTTGTTTTAAAACGTAATAATGTGCGGAACAACTATATAGGGAAGGGATAAGAAAAAGCTATTTTGGCGGTCGTATACGCTTTTTCACGCCAAAGGCTTTTTATTTAAGATGTTATTTTTGTTGTCGATTTTCTTGGTAATTTACTACGAAGTTACAATCTGTTTGAGTTGGTTTGGGTTTATGCTGGTAATTTATTATGATTTTTTGATGGACTTTCATAAAAAAGTATGCACAACAAAAATCGCAGATCGTTTTCATTATAACTTTATTCACGGAAAGTTTTTAAGAATATTCATATTTTAACTATTACAAACAGCACGAATACTTGGTGGCTAGGTTTTAATCGTTAGAGTGATTTATCGTGATCTCTTAAATCGAAACTTTGTTGAAAAATTGATGTCCAATTTTCTATTAAATTAAGTTATTCGCCCAGGATTTAAAAGATTAAAGTATTGGCCAATCATTTATGCATGAAGTCGTAGTCTTCGTTACATTGCTTGTTCAAGCTCCGAGCCCTCAAACTGGACGCGGAATCTCGGTTACTAGTATACTAATACTATAACAGTGACCGAGTAATACTTAGTAATACTAGGTACTAGTATTCTCAAAGATTTAAATTGTTAGGATCGTGGTACACATATTTAAGTCGTCAAATTTGAACAACGTTTCAGGAATGATAACAGGCGATAAGTAATTAAGAATTAGTTACGCTGCTTGAGTATGATAGATAGGCTTTATGGTGTTTTTTATACATTGCTGACTTAGTTACCTGCAATAGTGAATCTAAATAGTGCTTTGACATAAAAATGCATACATCGTTTACTAATATCAGTAAAATTAGTTAGATGTAAATAGTCTGAATTGACAGATTTTATAATAATTTTGTTTTGTTTCAATCTATTTGTTTGGAATCTGTCAGTTCGTAATTTTAGATTTATTACATAAGGATGGCTAATTAACTTTACTTAAGTAGAATATTATAAAATAATGTTTGTTACACCGAAATAGATAAATCAAAGGCAAATTTAATGTCTTTCAATTCTGTTTATCCAACCCTGATTTATCCTAAAGTGGGCGCGTAAAATGTGAATTAATCAGCTTGTAAATCAAAATTTATGAAATGCGGGTTCTTCGGTGAAATATTCGAATCAAACATTCTCGTGGAATTTACATACAAAGTAATTGTTGGTGGTAGGGAAGCGGTGCAGGTAAGTGCAACCGTCCTGCCTATTTCTGCCGTGAAGCAGTGGTGCTTTCCAGTTTTCAAAAATGGGAGAACCGTTATACGTACAACCTGTGATATTCCTATAGATATCGGAGCTTATGCCCCGGTTACACTGTGCCGGCCTTAAGCTGATTCGAAAGTGTGGAGCAAAAATTAATAAATAATGTATGTAGTGAATATATCAATTGCAATCCAATATCGATTATGGTAATCCGCAAGATTTCTTCAAAATGTATTTCAAATTTTGAACAGGAACACGTAGGACAATTGTGTTTTTGATTTTTGTTGAAAATTTTGTTATTTCAGCTTTTTTAGTCACATGTTTTACTGGTGGCAGGACCTCTTGTGAGTCCGCACGGGTAGGTACCACCACCCTGCCTATTTCTGCCGTGAAGCAGTAATGCCTTTCGGTTTGAAAGGTGGGGCAGCCGTTGTAACTATACTTGAGACCTTAGAACTTATATCTCAAGGTGGGTGGCGTATTTACGTAATAGATGTCTATGGGCTCCAGTAACCACTTAACACCAGGGGGGCTGTGAGCTCGTCCACCTATCTAAGCAATAAAAAATAAAAATGGTTAAGTGTCATGAGTGCGTAGTCATGAACGGCAGCCTATAATGAGTGATATTATTATTAACAATTTCGAAATTCTCATGACAGTGAAAAAAAACACGTTTATATAGGACATATTGTATTGAATGCGTGCATTCTTCGCAACGACGGAATCTCTGATGCGAAAACCTAATCACAGGTAGCCTGATGTTTGCGGCCGGAATAACTAAACTATTATGCCAGTGTAAACAAAACACACCGTTAGCAACTATGTATTAAATCTATCGTCAGCACCGGATGAATGGTTTACTGTCGCACACATGACAATCAAGCAAAGAATCATTTTATTTTTATAGATGGAAGCTGAAACTTCTAAACATCGAAGCTAAATATAATTTCCTCGATCGCTTCGTTGTTCTATATTAGAGCACATAATTACTATGATCAGTACAGTCGAATTCGAACATATTGAATCGGACGGTACTGTACTGTAGGCATTTGTTGGGTATTCGGGATTTTGATTCGAGAAGATTACTTATACTTCCTGTTCTCGTATATGTCATAGGCGATAATCATATACTCGTATTGCTGTCGTGGAATGTGGACGGCTTATAATAAATAGATTGTGTCGCAAGATAAAGCTCTTCAGCATCTAACGTCATCGGTCGTAACAAACATTGCAACCTGTCAATGTATTGCTAAGTATCTTAAGACAGAATAGATCTGACAAAATCTTAATCGCGCTAATTAAATTTACAAAATAAGTTTGCTTGCACACATCACTATTGTTTGAGCAGTGCCGGTCTACCAGGGAATAAAAACTGCCCGGTGGAGCTATTACCTGTGTCGTTGGTTTTCCTAAGCAAATGAAAAATAAAGTAGCTAAAACATTTTAAAATTCAAGTCACAATCACAACGAAAATCGGATTGTATTTATTATTCCAATCACGTATTTGATTAAGCTACAAATATTTACGAAAATATGCTAAAGAGCAATTACCCAGCAGTCTTAAGTTCAAACATTTGATTTAACGTGTCAGCGGAGTTAACAAAATCATGGAAGCAAGCGGCGGCGAAGCTTTATCAGTTCGATCGGGTGCTCCGTTTAAACTTTACATTTGAAATGTTCCCCTGCGTCTTTCTTAAAACTTCCACTTTTGCCTTTGAGATTTCTAAGGCGGAAACTTCCCTTTAACGCAAGTTCTGTGGTAGCATTTTTATTCTTCACTCTGGCTCGCGGCCATTTCGAATACAAGTGTACGCGAAACAATCCTAATTCTAAATTTATATAAAACTTTTTTCTGTAAATTTTTCATTTATTTTCAGAAGACAATCTAGGGTGTTTTTTAAATTAAAATGGACCTTTTAGCATATCAGAGCAGTTTATATGTTACCCGAGCAAATGTTGTTAACACCTGAATTCGTCCTCCACCATAAGAGATTAGATTTCAGTTTTACTTTTCAGCTGTATTACAATGCCTTACAATGTGATTTCTTAATGGCAGTGATACACGGTCGCACCACCTGTAGTTAGGTCTATATTACGGGGAGAGTTTACGTAAACAAAACTTTTGGAATTGTATAATAATTAGTATGAGACTTTTGAGATAAGATTTATTAAAGTAACAATCATAATCGTATTCGAGACCGTAAGTAAAAGACAAAAAACACACACACTGGTCATAATAATACAATAAAAGCATTTAACTGTGCTAATTAGATCTTTACTGAGCTTTTCTTTTTGTTTTCATGGGTAGACGAGTTCACAGCCCACCTGGTCTTAAGTGGTTACTGGAGCCCATAGACATCCACAACTTAAAGCGCCACCCACCCTGAGACATAAGTTCTAAGATCTCAGTACAGTTACAACGGCTGCCCCACCCTTCAGACCGAAACGCATTACTGCTTCACGGCAGAAATAGGCGGGGCGGTACCCGCGCGGACTCAAAAAAGGTCCTACCACCAGTAATTACGCAAATTATAATTTTGCGAGTTAAGGTACAGAAAAAATAATAAACGTACCATCACCTATCTTTAAAAGTTTATTAACACAACATGACTCGCTCGTCGACCTATCCCTGTGAAACTGGAAAAGCCTCCGGGTCACCAGTAAACCCTCAATGATAAAAAAAACAACATGACTCAACCAAGACTTTAATACAAAAAGTTCTCACTAGTTGTTCACTAAGTTTGCAGTTTTTGATTCGTACTGCTCCCAAAAGTTGTTGCCTTGGAAAGGCCGTCGGTGAAGTAAGCCTTTAGATGAAGTTCTCCGAATCCAGCCGCCAACGTCTTTGTATCTCAACTCAAAGGAAACGCAATTTAAACTACATGCGGGTACAGCAAATATTCATTCCCTTATTCCAACTCTTTCGAGTCTCTACTCTTTGCAAGTTTTATCCATAGCTCACATTTCGTTTAGAATATTCAAGTTCTGTGCGCATTTTATAAATACCATCTTCAAGAAAATTTCCACCAAGCATCAAATAGAGTATTACGGTATTATTAGTTATAATTTTGTTATCTATATATATATATATAAAAATGAATTGCTGTTCGTTAGTCTCGCTAAAACTCGAGACCGGCTGGACCGATTTGGCTAATCTTGGTCTTGAATTATTTGTGGAAGTCCAGAGAAGGTTTAAAAGGTAGATAAATATGAAAATGTTCGAAATTAAATAAAAATAACAATTTTGTTTTTCCTTTGATGTGTCCCCCGTCGGATGGATTCCTTTTGTTTTATTTAAGTTTATTTTATACAAAAGTTTAGGTCTTTTATTTATAGATTGAGACACTACGAAGTCTGCCGGGTCAGCTAGTTTGACCTGAAAAACCTCTGTACAGTTTTGAATCCAAAAATACATATAATCCTCATAATTTCATAGCAATAAGCATAATTTCATAGCAAGTATACTGTCTGTGACAAAATTGGCTGTAAGTAAATGGATATAGCGAAGCATCCGACGATTTTCTTGAGCATTAAACTCTTTTCTTGGATGTATCATCTGACTAATTTACGTTTTATTCTGACGAATAATAAAACACAACAGTATAAAACCCCAATTTTGAAAGCAACGATTAAGTTGCCCATTGTGTTTTCGCTCCGGCCGCGTTTCGAGTTGTTCATCGCTGTCGTAATTATGTTTTTAACTAAGACAAATTAACCGAGATATAGTATTTAAATAATGAAAAACCTCGCTCAACTACAAAGAAAATCTTACAAAAGCGTTTTATCTCTTCTCTATCAGAATACAAAACAGTGTTAATTTCAGAGATTTGGGTTTATGATGTTTTATTTTATTAAAAGTCCTTCGATCGCCATTTAAAAATGCAGATTGTTAATGTTTACTATATTAGAATTCGTAAATAATAAGAATACAATCCATTATTAGATTATTATCTAAATACTTAAGTACAGTACAGTATACTCATTTTTACTATTTAAATTATCCAGTGATATAACCTCGAATTGACTTAGACCGAGGCTAAACATTTTAAGCTTTACACGGTGTATCTTTTCACTGTGATGGCTGCGCAGAGAAAATTTGTTGAACGCCAGAGAATGTGAATAAGTCAAATTACAGTACTTTCCATTGTAAGTAAGACATTTCTTAATTGACCTTGCGCTGCTAAAAGTTCACATTTGTTAATTGGAGTTTCTAATTACGCTTTGTCTGCTTTCACGGCTTGACTCGCATTAATGAAGTCAAGAATTCAGGAAGATACTTACTTTTTAATTTCTTTCCATTATTAAATTTGCACTTGAAGAACAACAACAATATATCAAAAAGCCTCAAACAATTTCTGAGAATTTAACATGTGTATAATTCGATATATTATTATGTTACTCGCCTAAATACACATAGTTAATTTTCGATACACTCTAACCCTTACGCATCAATTTGGTTTTGTAAACAGTATTGTATGGCAATGGATATCGACCATCGTGCGTATTGTTTGTATAGATTGCTTGGATATACGATATTCGAAAAATCTGGATTGAAAGGTTGGGAACAGCGGCCCTTCGTTTCAAAATACGTATAGTAGTTTGTGTTTGTATTGTAGCAATTTAGGGGTGCAATGAATCGAGAGAGACAGCCTTTAGGCGGTTGGCATTTAAAGCACCTGACTGGCTATATTTAATTTGAAAAGTTTTCGTTATTTATAAGCTCTGCCTTAGTACGAATTATTAATCTTTTGAAAATATTTTTTCATTACTCATATAAAATAAGGGTGTGTC